CTCTACTGTGCCTCTCCTCCCCCAAGTCAAAATGTACTTAGCCCAAGACATTTGAATCTCATTTTCCTGGTTTCAGAAAGTTTAGTCTTAAAATATGACTTCAGCCAAGGATCTCAACTCATGCAAAGGATCAAGTATGTATTTGAGGACTTCTATAATGTTAATGTTGTTTAACAGCTATTGATTTTTTTCGCCAAACCAATCGACTTAATGAATTATACAAAACGGCTTGTAAATACACTAGCTCTGATTCTATGGGCAGGAAAGCCAAGAGAGGGAATCAGCAGAGCAGTTTAGGGGGCCAGTTAGAAGACTCTAGTAAAGACATTGATAAGGTTGTCTTTGAAGAGTGGATAGGATCTGGACAGGTAGATGCATGCATAGTGGCCCAAGCTGATAGAGATAAAATGAACCATATTATGGAGTGATGATAGGCAGTTTGAAAGGCCAGGGTAGCAATGTTATGAACTATTTGGGAATTCAGGCAAAGACATTTGTACTTCTAAGTGAAACCAGGGCATTTTTCGACATGAGAGTAAAAAACCAAACAGCATCCTTGAGTTCAGTGCCTCTAATTGCACACCCCGTCTCTGGCCCAGCAGTATCACATCGTCACCAAGCAGTCAGCTCCTGGAGAGCTGTGTCTCTGTGAGACAACTGGGTCACATACACCAACAGGCACTCAATGGCAAGACTTGCATTTTCTTGTTCTCAATCCCTCAATATGACCTCTGGAGCCTACAAGACATTCTAGAATGTACTCCAGGGTCTAGAGCAACACTTAGGAGACAGTAGGATGCAATGACAGGAAACATACAAGTTGGAATGGTAAGGGAATGCGTGAGTTAAGAGGTTAACTATTTTTTTAATCCAAAAGATGCTAATAATCCCCTACTTTTCTCTTTAAGCTCTTTCATGGCTGTCTTCTAAACATCTATCCCTTCATTTCTCCTTGGTCTGTTGAGTGTCCTATCAACTGAGAAAGACTGCTGTGTGTTTTTACAACAGTAATAAAACAAGTGGCTTAGTCACCCAAGCATATGTAGCTTCTCTGCACTCCCTTTATGGATTAGTGTCTGTAGGAAAGGAGTATGGAGAGTTACCTCCATCTCCATAGTGTCTCAGGCTCTCAGAGTAGAATCAAGAGCCTGGCTTTCGTATTCATGTCTACTGATTCACAGTTCCTTATTGTCAACTTTGTGTTACTACTTTGAGACCAAGAAAGATTTTTAAAATCATGTAAAATTCTTAAATATTGTTACTTACTTTAGAAGAGCTAAGAACAAACACATAGGTTGCTTGTTTTGTTTTGGGGTGTGGGGCATATTTTCCTAACTATAACAAAATCTCGATGCAGCATTCAAGATAAGGAGGAATTGCTTTGATGGAGGTGAGGTTTTACTGTGAGATGCCAGAAAACTCTCCTTGTTTATATGAATTTTTGTGACAACTATATTGTTTGTAGATTAGGTAGGTCCAGTATTCACCTAGATGCCAGCAAAATCTGAGGTGTATTTTGTCCTGAAACTGATTATGTGCTTCTTTTTTTTTCCCCACTAACTATTACAAAATCTCATAGGATTTTGAATTTTTGTTTTGTTTTGTTCTGAGTTTCTGTCTTTGTCTTTCCTATGGATTGCTGTTTCCAATGTAATCCTTAGTCTTTAGAATCTTATCAGAAAGGGATAAGTGACACAACACATATGTAGTCATTTGGTTAAAAATAAATGTTATTCATACAGAATTCAATTGTAAGCAATTTGGTAAAAATTGCAATTTTTTAGGGTTTTTTAGCCCTCAGTTCCCAGTATTAAGATTTTAGAACTTAGTTATAAAAATTTCTCAGATTCTTCAACTTGAAAAAATTATGAAAAGATAATTGGCAAGGGCTGATTCCATACAGCCTCCAAGGAACTGCACTGGAAAGGATTTTTACAAAACAGCAGGTGCATAAATACATCCTATCTTACCTACAAGAAAGGATCAGTGTTATTTTTAATTTAAGGTTTTCCAATAGAATGATTGATTATATTTCCTTCTGCACTAGAATAGTGCCTATCTTTTTCTTTTTTTCCAGTGTGTGAACAAGGCAGGATTTGAACAGGGTTTACCAACAGATTCAAATCAGATCTTCAAATCCACATGACTCATTGCGTACCCATGTTGTTTACTTTGACCCCAGACTGGGGAATTTAATTTTTTTTAAATGTTGTACCCCAATTTGCCTTTTAGTTGTCTCAGTGCACAAAATGAATATCCTTATTACATTGAGTTCATATCAAACAAAGTGTTTCATCATGTGATTGCTTCCCATTTCTGTTCATCTGTTTTGCTATTATCACAAACTTCCAGATTGACTGTAGGCCTGTACTTTTCTATGGGGTTCCATGAATGAGTGTTTTTTAATTATCTCCTAGGACAATAGCCTTTCAAGCTAATGTCGTACTTCACTCCCTTTTTAGTGAAGCCCATACCATCCCAAGTACTAATAGCTTCAAGGATGTTTTAAAAATCTGGAGAAAGAGAGCCATGTTAATATTTATTAGATTTTTTCAAAGATAACAGTGGTTTTCATAGTCCAAATAAAAACTGATTATATGAGTTCCAAATGAATTTCTTTCAGTGTTACTATTTCATTCTTCTTCCCAGTAGCTTTTAACAAATCGCACTAATCAGTAGTTTTAAAAGTAACAATTTTACATTAGCATCTTTCCCCTCCTCCACTGCCGTGCAAGCATTCAGTCTTATGCCTCAATAAATATGACATTTTCTTCATCCCACAAATGACATTAGAGATAGTGAGCACTTTTTAAAAATATATTGTTCAGCCTCAGAATATATATGTGTGTATATATATATATATATATATATATATATAAACTCATGTACACACTTATAGTAACAGCACAAGAATTGAATATAGTAGTAAATGTAGGAAATAGTGTGGTCTTCAAGTATAGAAGGGTAGCTTTTATTTTTTTTTTATTTATTTTTTATTTTATTTTATTTTTTTTTAACGTTTATTATTTTTGGGACAGAGAGAGACAGAGCATGAATGGGGGAGGGGCAGAGAGAGAGGGAGACACAGAATCGGAAACAGGCTCCAGGCTCCAGGCTCCGAGCCATCAGCCCAGAGCCCGACGCGGGGCTCGAACTCCCGGACCGCGAGATCGTGACCTGGCTGAAGTCGGACGCTTAACCGACTGCGCCACCCAGGCACCCCAGAAGGGTAGCTTTTAGATTCCAAAATTATTTGACCAATTTGCCCGCATTTGGAAAAGCAGTAAAACTTTAGATTCCAATTCATTAGCAACTCTATGCCTTTTTTTTTAATTTTATTTATTTTTTTATTTATATATGAAATTTATTGTCAAATTGGTTTCCATACAATCTATGCCCTTCTTAGAGTCAGAATAGTGACTTTGGTCTCAGTGTCCTAATTAGAAAACTATAACAATAAAAACAATGATAGCAATAATATAGTGAGGTAATAGCCAACATGAACTTAGTACATAGAATATTCCAAGACTAGTTTTAGGCAATTTAGCTTCATTATTCTTCAGAAGAAAGTTTTTAAGTAGGTACTGTGATTATCCCCATTTTATGGATAAGAAAACAAACACAGAAGTGGAGACAAAAAGAGCAAACATTTTGTTTATAAGGCCAATATATAATGTAAAGTAGGGTGTCTTGTTAACAAACTGCTTTTTCTTTTATTTTTTTCCTCCAATAAAGTGACTAAAGCATAGCCAGTGAGAAATTATCTTCTACTATTAGTTGCTGAAAGCTAAGTTTTGATCCCTTTTCCCCGATTAAAAGGAAACGGTGCTTGGTTTTCATTGGTGCTGTTCATGTCATCCTAAGACCCTTGTCAGTTACTGTGAAGCGTGTAAAGAAAGCTTGATTTTGAAATCATTGATCATATCTTAAACATATTGCTTTTTTTCTCCAAAATATGGCCATGAGTGATGATTTGTCTCCCAACAGCAGACCACTTTTTATCAAAATCTGATCCATAGTAGTAGTAAATCAAGACTATTATTATGAGTAATTTATTACTAAAATATTATATTTCTCAAAAAATCTTTTGTCTTTCCATTATTATTTTATCCTCTGAGAAATATAAATTTCATTCAGTAAGTGGACCATCTTATTTTCATTACTAGTATATATAAAATGAAACATGAAACAGAAACTATCAATTGACAATCTGTTACGTTGATCAGAAATTTAAATTTTTTTATCTCTCTAGAGTACTAGTATTAACAGGGACAGTGTTGGTTTTCAAGATTTCAAAAAAAAACGAATATGTACTCTAGGCCTTAACACATATGTGGAATCAGAATATATGGGATTTTTCTGAGGTTGGGGTTGGAGGAAATTGGGTGGAAAAGGATAAGAAGATGTCTATGGTTTGAAGTCAGAAGCAAATAGACTTTTACCTGTAGATGTATAATTGGCACTTTTTTCTCCATTATCACATAGGATGGGGGACAGACTCAATGTGAGTTTCTACCACCTTCAAAAAATGAATTTTATTTAATTAAGTCATACACTCTGCATATCTAGATATTTATAAACATGACACTAATTCCAGCAATTGAACAAGAATGCATTCACATTGCTATCTTTCAGAGCAGTTTACTAAGGTTTGTTGTAACATGTTTAGAACCAGTTGCAAATCTAGGTGTTGCATCATTGCTAAGCCTTGATGAAACGTTTATGAACATGTTTTATTATTTGCTAATCTGTGCTGTGAACCCATCAGTCTGTTTGCAGTGGGGAGGAAGTGGGTAGAGGGGTGGGAGGGTAGAAGAGGGGTGGATCATTTTGTTTGATGTGTTGGTGGAGGGAGGAAGGAAGTTGAACTAAGGTGTATCTAAAGGGTTCCATTTTGACCCTTGCACTAAAATCAACTGCAGTAAATAAATGCTACTCCTAATCGGGTTTTCAGTGATCATACTCTTTTTTTCCCCCCTTGTTTTATATTTTTTTCTCAGGGGAAATCTCTCACGTCAAAGAGGTTAACAAGCCTCGTTCAGTCCTACTAAAAGGATCATCTTGTAGCATGGAAGCAGACTGGAGTCATTGCATATACTTTGTAGCTCTTTGTTGTTACCTGGAGCAGAGGACATTAGGCCAAGATGTTGCATGAGCAAAGGACCTGAATTGTTCTCTCTTTGTGTACATTCAGGCACTGCCATTCCAAGGGACTCTACCGTCTCAATGCCTCCACTGCAAAATGTTGTCTGCTTACTTTCTCCTTGTACTAAGCTGGATCTGTGTCGTTTCCTTTTTAACAAGTTCAAGTGGAGTAAACCTTTTTTTTTTTCTTTCTCTTAAAGCTTCTGCTAGACACACAGTTCACTGAAAATTCACTCAGTCAAAAACTGGAAGAATTGTAAAAGAAAAAAGCATATATCAATAAGTATACATACGGCTTCACGTTTATTAAACAATAAGTTAGCACAGAAAGTTTCATTTCACCAATGTGTTCACAGTCAGAAACAAGCTTTGTCTTTGTCTGTTGTCTATACATTCTCAGTTAATGTTTCTTGCATTTATTTTTATACCATATTTAAATAAGAAACGCCTTTTACTCCAAATGTATTAAAGTTGATCCCTTCTCTGTAAATTTGTGTATGTTTATATTGTTGTTTTATCTTTCATTAAAAGATGCAGAATCTCCTTGTTTTTGTAATTTTGACTTCCACACGCTGATAAAGAAAATGCTGAAAAACATCCATAAATGTAGACTTGCAATTTAAGCTATCACGCTGCAAGTTTATTTTAGGGCTTTAAGGCAAGCTTGGATGGTACAGGAGTCAGGAGCTGACTGAAAGTGTTTCATCTGGGGGCTAGGCCAGGACTGGGTAGATTCTTTTTCTCTCATGCAGGAGCAACACAAACTGGCCTTTCACATTTTCAGAGCAATTTACCAGCCCTTTCAGCCTCATTATGAATATGCATCTCTATGTTTTGCTAATGGCTAATGGGAGTTAGGTTTGAGTGTGACTTCCCAACTCAGAAACTGGTATTTGTCTTTCAAGTATAATCCTAAAAATGCCTTAAATCAGTGGCTTTTAACTCTTTGGTGGTTACAAATTCTTTTGAGAACACAATGGTAATTACTAATCTTTAGTGTGTGCTTAGTAAATGCCAAGCCACAGTACTATGGGCTTTACCCATAAAATCTTTACATTTAATCCTCACAGCAGCCCGTTTCTGCAATTTTGAGAATTTTAAAGCAGAGAGAGGTTCAGTACCCTGTTCAAAGTCACACAGCCATATAGTGAGTTGCTATACAAATTCAGGCAGTCCAACTCCAGAACCCACTCTATTGCACCAATCCACTGCACCACCCAACTTCTTTTGGTAAAATTTATGAAAATCCACATACACTCTTACACAGGAAACATTTCCACTGACTTTTGGAGCATTCACAGAATACCCTCTGAAATTCATCCATGGGCCCCAAATAAGAAACCTGACTCCCTTTAAGAATTGGGTCGGGAATAGGGGCACCTGGGTGGCTTCTGTCTTTGGCTCAGGTCATGGTCTCACAGTTCGTGAGTTCGAGCCCCACGTCAGCTCTATGCTGACAGCTCAGGGCCTGGAGCCTGCTTTGGATTCTATGTCTTCTTCCCTCTCTAATCCTCCTCTGCTCATGCTCTGTCTCTCTATCTCAAAAATAAATAATAAACATTAAAAAAATTTTTAAATGTTGGGTCAGGGACACAAAAGGTCACACAGTGGGGAAATGGGCCTAACTTGTTTACTTTTGCATCCATGTAGGCATTGCAGACTCTGGATATTTAAAAAAGAGAAACATAATATTGTAAATAAGGTAATTATTAATTATTGTAGATAAATTTAAATTCTAAAAAAAATTACCAACATCGGTGAGAAATCAGTAGTAAGTCTGTGAACTAGTGTCTAGAACTGTCACAAAATGGAAGCCACTTGATAGGAGAAATTTACATAGGAACAATAATCGGAACACTGTAACTACTTTAAGACTTTTAAAAAAGATTTAATTATACATCCTATGACTTTTTAAAAGGAGTACATAGGGGCGCCTGGGTGGCGCAGTCGGTTAAGCGTCCGACTTCAGCCAGGTCACGATCTCTCGGTCCGTGAGTTCGAGCCCCGCGTCAGGCTCTGGGCTGATGGCTCAGAGCCTGGAGCCTGTTTCCGATTCTGTGTCTCCCTCTCTCTCTGCCCCTCCCCCATTCATGCTCTGTCTCTCTCTGTCCCAAAAATAAATAAATGTTGAAAAAAAAACTTTTTTTTAAAAATAAAATAAAATAAAATAAAAGGAGTACATAAAGTGCACATAAATATAAATATATAGATGCTCTCTGTTAGAAACATTCAGGACAGCCTTGGGCAGATGGTACTGAAGCTACATTGAAAGGCTACTTCAAAGAAACATTATTTGAAAGCAATACCTATTAGATGAATAGACAATGAATCTTGCACAAATAGAATTGGTTCTTTTGGAGGCTATCTCTTATAAATTGTCATTCCTTGGATGCCCATCCTTACTGAAAATTTTAAACCAAAAATTTACACAGAAATGAAAGGTGTAATAATGTCAACAGATGATAGGAAAAAAATATTCAGGCAAGTATCCTCAAGTCAGGAGCTCTTAATAAACCTGTGAGTCAGTTTCTGACAAGTACAGAAAATCTTTAAATAACCTAATGGCTCCATTTAATATACTTTCGACAAAGCTCGGTATACAAAACAGTGTATTTTAGGAGGAGAATATAAGAAAATGTTGGAGTTCTTGGAGTTCACTCAAATAAGCACATGGCAACTGTCTCCCACCCGACTCTGGGACAATTTGATCTATAAAGCATAGAAGAAAAGCTCTCAAGTTTCTAATGATTAAAATGGTTTTTAAGAAGCCTTTTTCTCCCTTAAAGCAATTTAAAAAGTTATCCACTGAAGCAGTGGCCCAGAGTGTCCACACTCAATTGCAAAACTAATTCATCCTCTAAACTGCATTGACCTGATTTTTCCCTTTGCAATGTCTACAGCAATGTTTCCTGTGGAACTTCAATGGATTTTCTGCTTGAATAAAAGTAAGTGAAATATGGTCAGCAATTCTACCCGTCAGGGACCAGGAAAATAAATGAAGGCAAAAACGTTCCCTCTTCATTACAAGTATGTGAGTGCATGTTGCTACTCAGAACTTTCATGCATCCGCCATTCTCCTTGTTGAGTGCTCATTTCCCTTTATACATGTATGATGGTTTTTGAATAATTTTGGTCTATGAGGAAAGCAAATCTTGGCTAACTAGCATAAATTTAGTCCAAGTAAATGCACTGATTGTCTCTACACATAGGATTTGTGTGTCCTTAATTATATACTTGAAAGAGCACATTGAAATAACCAATGGCTTTACTGTTGTCCATGACTATCCCTTTGCATATTCTAATACCCTCTAAAACATCAACCAGAGGTAATTATCTACTTGAAAGAATACATTGAAATAGCCAGTGGCTTTACTGTTGTCTATGAGTAACCCTTTGCTTATTCTAATACTCTCTAAAATATCAACGGGAAGTAAGCCATTTTGAGAAAATAGAGAAGAATTTGATGAACATGAAGAATTGAGAGAGAACTAAAGTCATGTGTCACATGCAGGTATCCCACATATTTTGTTGTACAACCATGTTTTTGTATCTTTTTATTCAGAATTTTGTGCACCAAATTAACCTTTAAAAAATACCAAATGATGTATAAAACATAAGACATCAGTATTCAAAAGTCAGATTAAGACAGAAACTATTACATATGCCGTTGAATGCCTAGGGAAGTTTCCCTGGAGCTGCAAATCCATTTGAAACTTCATCTTTGCAAAGATCATTAGTTACTGGGTAGACATGAGTACTCCTTGATTAATAAACTGATTACTAAATCTTGATGTCTTTATTAAGTTATGACACTTTAATCATTTCAACTTGTTTGGAAATCAAATGACTTGGTGTTTGTTATCTTTTTAAAGGTTAGTAACATCTAATTCCAGTATTGACTGAAAGGATTAAGACAACGTATCTAAACTATCAAGCGCAGAATTAGGCACATAAATAGAAGTCAAAAATAATATGTACTTTACTCTTTTCCCTTTCTTTTCCTCCAAAAGGTCATTTTTCTAAAAAGATAAAATACATGTTCAAACACCACTCCTAGCCCAAGTGGAATCATTTGGTTTGACGTGCAGAGGGCCAAAGCCAAGTGGTGAATCAGAATATCAGAGACCAGAGGAAAGACATGGAGAGCAGTTAGGTGTGATGGTAGGTTGGTTACCAACCATATGGAGTCAATAAACATCAGGACCAAAAGAGCGACCAAAAAATGAAACTTGGCTAAGTCAAGGAGGCTGCATCCTGAACAAATGAAACTGGAAACTGCATCTCTGGAAAATAGGAATAGGACTTGTTAGAAAGCAGTTGTGGTCTCAACTGTGTGTGTGACAGAAACTCTTCTAGGAACCTAGCTAGTGTGAGCTAGAAGTACAAGGGACAGAAGATGGTAGTAATAAGGTATCGGGGTAAAATCATCCGTCTTTCTCAGTGCAGGATGACTTTTGGCCCCAAAGTACAAATAGAGGAACTTCTCCTTCCCCATACACTACGTTTCCAGAGGTTTCCTGGACCAGAGAAGTGGATATAAAGTATAGGCAGACTGAATTATTTGTTATGAAAGGTCTTAAACACTCTGAAACCTCTTGATTCCATGATATAGGGCTGTGGTGTTTGTCATGTGAGCTCTCAGGTCCAGGCTGGGTGATAGTCCCAGTCAAGTAAGAACTGGCCATTTGGCAGGTGAGATTGCAATGCACAGGCTACAGAAAGAGATGGAAAGTGGATCTGAAAGAGTTGCCCGTAGGCCAACTCAGTGGGGTGACACAGCAATGATCATACATAATCATACATAATCAATTCCACATACTAGTTCTTATCCTAGTTATTTGCCCTGGCTCTTTTGGGGCTGCAGATATATAAGGGAACCAACTTTATGATGGTACATACTGCAATTTGCAGTGTGCACTCTCCGTCCCGTTTCCCTGATTTATTCTTACCTTTGGTCTTCCTAAATTTCTTCAAGTGTTCAGGCGCAAAAGCCCCTCTTTCTACTTCTTTTCCATAATAAGCCTTAATGGCCCTAGCACAAGATTGCCTGAAAAGAATTTCAGCTTCCTCTAGACTAAGATCTAATATTTATGAAGGTAGATTAAACACATTCTAAAATCTCCACTCCAAATGGAAATAATTTTTACATTTTCAAGATTAAAAAACACATAGCTGCTTATGAAAGTGATAAAGGGAACCATTTCTAACAAGAAAATAATCAAAGTGAATATTGTCAGAAACTAAAATAACTTGGCACTGGAGAGCTAGGCATGGATCTAAACAGAAAGTACAGGGGCAGTGGCCAGAAACTCTCATACTTCCATGACCATAGACTCAACACTACCTCCAGGGAGCTTAGACTGTGAAACACAACACTCTGCCATGAGCAGCGACTGGGATAGCTTTGCACACTTCCCAAGGTTACTAGAGAACTAAGCCATTTCCAATGGCCATAGTGTCCAGTATTACCCTGCATGCATGAAAGGTGTGTGCTGTCATGTCACCAGCATGTGCAGGGCAGGAAATAGAAGGACATTCCCTGA